CTTCCCCTTTCCCCTCTCCCCTCCCTTCCCTCTTCCCCTTCCCCCCTCTCCTTTCTCCTCTCCTCCCCTTCTCCCTTCCGCTACCCCCTCTCCTCTCCTACCCTACTCTCTTCTCTCCCTTCTTTCTTCCCCTTTCCCCTCTCCCCTCCCTTCCCTCTTCCCCTTCCCCCCTCTCCTTTCTCCTCTCCTCCCCTTCTCCCTTCCGCTATCCCCTCTCCTCTCCTACCCTACTCTCTTCTCTCCCTTCTTTCTTCCCCTTTCCCCTCTCCCCTCCCTTCCCTCTTCCCCTTCCCCCCTCTCCTTTCTCCTCTCCTCCCCTTCTCCCTTCCGCTATCCCCTCTCCTCTCCTACCCTACTCTCTTCTCTCCCTTCTTTCTTCCCCTTTCCCCTCTCCCCTCCCTTCCCTCCTCCCCTTCCCCCCTCTCCTTTCTCCTCTCCTCCCCTTCTCCCTTCCGCTATCCCCTCTCCTCTCCTACCCTACTCTCTTCTCTCCCTTCTTTCTTCCCCTTTCCCCTCTTTCTCCTCTCTTCTCCTCTCTTCCCCTTCTCCCTTCCTCCTTCCCCTCTCTTATCTTCTCCCCTCCCCCTTTCCCCTCCCCTCTTCCTCCCCTCTTCCCCCTCCTCTCTTCTCCTCTCTCCTTTCTTCCCCCTTTCCTCTCTCCTCTCCTACCCTACTCTCCTCTCCCTTCTTTCTTTCCATTTCCCTCTCTCTCCTCTCTTGTCCTCTCTTCCCCTTCTCCCTTCCCCCTTCCCCTCTCTTATCTCCTCCCCTTCCCCCTCCCCTCTCTCTTCCCCCTCCCCTCTTCCCCCTCCCCTCTTCTCCTCTTCTCTTCTTTCTTCCCCCTTTCCCCTCTCCTCTCCTACTCTACTCTCTCCTCTTTCCTCTCCCTTCTTTCTTCCCCCCTTCCCTCCTCTCTCCTCTCCTCTCCCCCTTCCCTTTCTGCATTTCCCTCCCCTCTCCTCTCCTACCCTACTCTCTCCTCTCCCTTCTTTCTTCCCATTTCCCCTCTCTCTCCTCTCCTCCCCCTTTCCCCTCTCCCTTTCCCTTCCCCCTGCCTTTCCCATTCCCTCCCTCGCTCCTCTCTTCTTTTCCCCTTCCCTCTTTCCTTCTCTCCTCTCCCCTACCCCTTTCCTTTCTTCTCTTCCCACCCCTCTCCTCTTCTGAAGAAATTAATTGTATTGGTGGAATCAGGATCCATAAGAAGCTAACAAAATAGTATTCCTTCCAGCAAAAATGAAGGAAACATTTACTTTCCATGGGTTTTAATGAGGAAATGATGCAAACCTATTCTCCAAATGAAATCAGTGGGATTTAAAAGAGGCGGCTTCTCGACAGATCGCGGCCGCTAATATTTATAGATGTTTTGTAACTTTCAATGACCCCTGAAGGTCTATCCTTTAAGATCAGCCAAGCAGAAGAAAAGCTGAAGCCTGTTGTTGTTATTTTGTTCTCCCTGTTTGCCTGCGCAGGTGCTTGAAGGACGGATGAAACTGGAGTGCAAATGTCACGGCGTTTCTGGTTCCTGCACCACGAAGACTTGTTGGACTACACTACCCAAATTCCGAGAGATTGGATATATTTTAAAAGAGAAATATAATGCTGCAGTCCAAGTGGAAGAAGTCCGGGCCAACCGGCTTCGGCTACCAACCTTCCTGAAACTCAAGAAGATCAGAAGCTACCAGAAGCCAATGGAGACTGATTTGGTCTACATTGACAAATCGCCGAATTACTGTGAAGAGGATGCTTCAACAGGGAGTGTGGGGACCCAGGGCAGACTCTGCAACCGTACGTCCCTCGGGGCGGACGGCTGTCGCATGATGTGCTGCGGAAGGGGCTACAACACTCACCAGTACACCAAGGTGTGGCAGTGCAACTGCAAGTTCCACTGGTGTTGCTTTGTGAAATGCAACACCTGCAGCGAACGGACAGAAGTGTTCACTTGCAAGTAACCTTAAGATGGAGCAACCTGAACATGGACGCGACCACCACTTGGTCGTGTGGAACAAAATAGCTACAGCATCATTTTGCACATTTTTCTTTCTTTCTTTCTTTCTTTGGGGTGGGAAGGAGGTAGAACCAATCTCTTATTTGTTTCTTACTAACACAGTTGGAAGAACAATGTGTAATCTGTTGGCTAGAGTTGCTTTGATTCCATTAGTCCAAGGGACCCTGGGATGGGATGATGGATTAGGATGATGTTATTCCAGGTGAGCAATTTTTCCTTTTGATTCCTCCTCCCCTTGCCCACTGCAGCCTGAGGTGTTGTAGAGTTTTACTCTTAGATTAAGTTATACGTACAATACGATAGACACAGGTTCCGGAAGAAGATTTTTAAATTCAGAATGCGCGTGAAGATGCCCTAACAGAGACATTTTTTTTCCTATTAAAAAAAAAGGACAAAAGAAAGAGGAATTCAGATGTTAAGTACAAAACTAAGATTCCGACAGTGTTGCTTCAACACTTGCTTCTGGAAAAGAAAGGGAATAAAGTAGGGGAAAAGGGCAGCAGCTAAGACGAATGAAATTTGGGGTTGGGAGGAACTTCGAGGATGGATTCATAGATAAAATAAAAGAGGAAATTCTGACAGCTCCCAGTAACACTGGAACCTTTTGAATGGACATTTCAGCAGGAAAAAAAAGAGATTCTCTTATTTATGTTTTTAATATTATCAAAACTCTCTAAGCACTAACGGGTAGCCATGTCTTTACTTTGAACTAAATGTAAAATTACTGGAGCTCTGACTTCTTTTATTTTCATTTTGGGTACTTGGTTCTCCCCAACGTTCTTCAATGCTACTGATTTCATGGCACTCCACTGTTAACTAGAGTTCTGTCCTTGGGCCAGAGGATCATTCAAGAGGGAGGAAAAGGGATTTGGCAGTGTAAAATGGTCATTGAAAAAGCAGGTGGCTTGGCTTCTCACTTGTTTCGCTATTGAAAGCTGGGGCAGAATAGTGATCGCATCACAGAATGGGACAACTTGTTGTGGCCAAGTCACTACAGCCAAGTCTTCATAGGACAAATGCTGCAGGACAATTTAACAATTCAATTTAATTATTTAAAATAAAGTTTAAACATATTTTAATTTTTGTCATTTGCGTTTCATTTTGTCCCTCCTTTTGCATACTTTCTTTAATGGTTCTGTTCCACTATTTCTTTATATATTAGTGTAACTCTTGTCCCGCAGCAAGTTGTCCTGTGGTGAGTTGGTCATGGCTAGTTGTGTTGGCTGCAGCAAGTTGGCCATGGCAAGTTGTCTGTAGCGAATTGGCCATGGTGAGTTGGCCATGGTGAATTGTCAAAGACCCCCTCCTTGCTGATGTTAGATAAAGACGAGCAGAGATATATCCACAAAGGGGAGGGGGTTTCAAAAAAGTCAAACAGCAGTCAAGATGGCAACCATGGCCCTGGATCATTATGATTTTCCTGGGGATGTGTTAATCCTTATACACACTTTTTGCTTTATGGGGATGTGTGTTTGGATTATTCTTTTCCTGAAGGTCTTTTCATTATTTGTGTCATGTTTCTAGGTCTGTGTGATCCATCTCAGTTGAATGGGACTTTGTATAAAACTATTACACGCGCTCCAATTTCTCTTTCAATCTTCTGCAAAGCACTGAGGGTCTTCGTAGATTATGGAGATGTATTAGGGAGGAAGATCTTTGTATAACAGTTGCTTAACACCAGAAACAAATCTATAGTTTATCCAACAATTGATGACACTTCAGTGATGAGGGGAAAGAGCTCCCTTTTGTTTGTGGACCGTGAGTCATCAAATTTGGTGACTTCTAGAAATGAGGAACGACCTCGTTGCACAGTATGTTATGAGGATGATATAAGGGGTCAGGAACATCAAAATGGCAATGCAACTGCATGGTTGATGTCCTGCCCCTTTTTGATATGGGATACATTTCACGTAAAAAAGAATCCAAACTTCAATTGCATCATGGCAGCCGCAAGCTTGACATTTTTTACCCATTCAGGTGCTCTAACAAAGATATATACCGTGTTTTCTCAAAAACAAGACCTATCCTGAAAATAAGCCCTAGTTTGATTTTTTTTTCATGCATGCACCCAATATAATCCCTACCCCCAAAATAAGCCCTACTTAAGATCCCGCCCATTCTGGGCTGCACAGGGTGGGGCAAGAGACACACATAAAAATTAATTTTTTTTCGGGAAAACACAGGGTATATATTTCCAACCCTCCATTTTGAAAATAGGGTCTGGTGCAAGATACACTCCCGACTGTTTGCTTAAACTTCACTCACTAAATGCAAATTCAGTTTGGATTGTTTGATGGACAGGTAATCCCTTAATTTAACAAGATTCTCCGCCATCACATGCCTTGTGATTCTAATTATTCCTTTTTTCAGTCTCTGCCAGCAATCACAGTTGGTGTGAACAAGGAGGCAGAGCAGGGTTTCCTCACCACCACCACCACCACCACAATGGCATTACAATATCCTCGAATTGTGGTGTCGAATCTACTTCAGTGCTGAGGAAGTATGGGGAAAAAAACATTCTCATCCATTCTTCTATGCCAACGTTTCTCAACTTTGGCAATTTGAAGATGGATGGACTTCAACTCCCAGAATTCCCCACCAAGCTGTTCTGGGGAATTCTGGGAGTTGAACTCCACCCATCATCAAGTTGCTGTGGTTGAGAAACATTGCCCCATTCAGTTCATTACCATGTTTCCCCAAAAATAAGAAGGATCTTATTTTCTTTTAATCCCCCAAATAAGCATGTGTTCTTATTTTCGGGGAGGTCTTATTATTTTTGAGGTGCAGGAGGCACCTCATGGCTGCTGCTGTGTTGCAATATTTTCAAGGAGGGCTTATTTTCAGGGGAGGGCTAATTTTAGCACATGCGCTCAAAAGCCCAATTGGGCTTATTATCCGGGGAGGTCTTATTTTTGGGGAAACAGGGTACAAATTTGTTACTGAGAAAAGCCTGATATTTTTCTCTCCTAGCATATAAACCCCAATTCGACATCCAGTCGCAAGTCATCCGTTGTGTGTAAGCATGGCTGAATTGCCGGTAACGCAGAGGGAAAGGACCTCTTTTGCAGTGTTAGCAGTATTCGGCAATGGCCCTTTCTTATTGTTTCATAATTTCCAGGTTTAGACAGGCTTTTTATTGGCTCTTTGGAAGAGATTAACATGCTAACCCCATGCCAGGAAAGTAATGTAAACAACAGTTGTTGAAGCACATGCTGCAGCTGCCGATGACTCAGTCGCACACTAGAACAAGCTAATACAAGGCTGGTGTATTAGTCTGAGTTATTTTTAGTGACACAATTAATCTAACTTACGTTGACGGCATTAAACCATCCTTTTGCTTCCCAACAAACCTCTCTGTATATTGCTCTTTTTTTTTTAAAGGCCTATTCCTAAAACAATACAGCAGGCGATACAAAGAAGATGTGCTTGTAAACATGTATGTTCTCCTAGGCAAGGGATGGAACTGAGAGTCACACCTCAGTTCGCTACTACAAACTTGAAAATGTGACATTAAATCACATGGTTTACAGTATTTTTCAGAGTATAAGACCCACATTTTCCCCTCAAAAAAGAGGCTGAAAACCTGGGTGTGTCTTATGCACTGAATGCAGCATTTCTTGCCTCCCAAAACCCCACCCCCCCTTCACCAAAATGGCCATGCATAGCCTTTAGGAGCCTTGCAGAGTGCTCCTGGGGGCTGGGGAAGGCAGAAATGAGTGAAAAATGGGCCATTTGTTGCTCAATGTTGCACCCCCAGCCTCCAGGAGCACTCTGCAAGGCTCCTAAAGGCTATTCATGCACCCCCATTTTTTTAACAAAAAGGGGCCATTTTTGGCTTGCTTACCCCCACCCCCACCCCCCGGAGCACTCTACACGCCTTCTAAAGGCTATTCGTGCCCTTTTTGGGGGGGAAAAACAGGCCTGTATTCATGAAAAATGGATCATTTTTGGGAGGTCTGCAGAGTGCAAAAACGTTTTTTTTTAAAATTTGCCTCTTCAAAACCTTGGTGGGTATTATACTCCAGTGCATCTTATACTCCGAAAAATATGGTAAGTCTTAAGCAAGTAGCTGATACTGAAACCTCCTGCCCGACATGGGTGTCCCTAAAGGGAGAAGGTAAAAAAAAAAAATCAAGATGGGGACTACCACTGCATGCTTGAAACCCCATTGCTTCTTTTACACCTGGGGGGGGCAGGAAGTTATGTTGGAATCACCCAGTATCCTGTATTTTTCGGAGTATAAGTCACACCTTTTTCCCCCAAAAGAGAGGGTGAACACCTGGGTGCATCTTATACACTGAATACAGCATTTTTTTGCCTACCGAAACTCCGCCCCTTTGCAAAAATGGACGTGCAGAGGGTTTGGGAGGCTTGCAAAGTGCTCCTGGGGGCTGGGGAGGGCAAGAATGAGCAAAAAAGGCCGTTTTTGCTCATTTTTGCCCCCCCCCCCACCCTTAAAAGGCACTCTACAAGCCTCCCAAAGTCCTGCATGCCCCCCCCTCTTTTTTTGCAAAAAAAGGGATGTGCAAAGGATTTGGGAGACCTGCAGAGTGCAACAACTTTTTTTGAAAAATCTAACTCTTCAAAAGCACGATGCGCCTTATACTCCAGTGTGGCTTATAGTCAAAAGAAAATTATGGTAATTACCTTGTGGCTTCCAAGATGATATGTGGTTTTGGTCTTCAAGAGTTGATAGTTGCAGGTCGGTGCTTTTCAAAATTCATGTAGTTCTTAATGAATGTACAGTTAGATAAGCCAAGCATATCTATCTGATCTGGATCATTTCTGTCCCCAGATTTATGGAATGGTTGGATCAGAGGGGGCATCTGGTAGGATGTCATACACCATATAAACAAAAAAAACCTATGTTTATAGAACAAGGAGATTTGACCTGGGGTCAAATCTTCCTCAAGACCTTATTTGCAACTCTCTGAATCTTCCAAAAGTGTTTGCCAAATTTCATATTATCCCAATTGGAGAATGACATTGTTGAATCGGGAAACAATCATACCAATTGTAATTCATTTTAATTACATATAAATGTAATAGAAAACAGGGCGATTTTTGCTGGAGTGCAGCACCCAATATTTCATTCAACACCATTATTGCCACCTCGAATTAGATGGCTAATACCTGTTACCAAATTTCGCAAGGGATTCTTAGAATTCTAGAATTGGAGGGGGGCCTTGAGCTATGCAGCTGAGTGTTTTCAAACTTGGCAACTTTAAGATGCGTGGACTTCAACTC